TTTCAAGACTCTGAGTTTGGGAGTGGGAGATGATACTGGGGTAAAGGAAAATGCTAGAAAACTCACTGTCTCACTGTGTCTGCCTTTTTTCTTAAATAAGTGCTCTGAGGCAGTTAACAAGCCTTCGGTTAATTTTCAGAGTTCTAACAAAGTTGATTCTGACCATTTTGCCTGTGTTCTCATTGCTTTTATGGAGAGGTGAAATTTCAGCATTCTTGACTCCACCCTTTTTACTAGTGTCAGTCTAGACCTTTTACATTTATGGTAATTATTGATATACTGGGGCTTAAGTGTTCTAGTTTTTGTTATTTGTTTTCTGTTTGTTTCCATGCTTTCTCTTTTCTAAACTACCTGTGTGTTATTTCAACGATGTTTAGGATTGATCTAGTTTTGCGTATAGTGTTTTTTCTTTAAAAAAAAATTTTTTTAATGTTTATTTATTTTTGACAGAGAGAGAGAGAGAGACAGAGCATAAGCATGAGGGGCAGAGAGAGAGGGAGACACAGAATCCAAAGCAGGCTCCAGGCTGTCAGCACAGAGCCCGATGCGGGCCTCGAACTCACAGACTGCGAGATATGACCCGAGCCGAAGTTGGACGCTCAACCAACTGAGCCACCCAGGCGCCCCTAGTGTTTTTTCTTTTTTTAGCATATTGCTTCATACAGTTTTCACAGTGATTGAAATATACATATTTCATATGTATATTTCATGTTCATATGTATATGAATTTCATGAATGTATTTCATATGTATATATACATATATAACTTATCACAAACTGCTGGCATAAACATCTTACCATTTCAAGTGAAGTGCAGTAATCTTACTTCCATTTAAGTTTCTTTAGTCTTCTCACCTTAAAAAAATGTAATTGTCTTAGTTATTTTCTCTATATGCGTTGAGCACTATGTCAAATGACATCATAATTTTTGTTACAACCATCAAATATGGTAAGAAACTAATGAGAATTAGAGTGGTCTATTATATTTACCTCTATGTTTACCCATTTTAGTGTTCTTTTTTTCCTTTCTAAACTTTCAAGCCTTCTTCTCTTATCATTTCCCTTCTGTTTAGCTACTCTTTCAGGGTTGGCTTGCTGTCTACAAGTTCTCTTAGTTTCCCTGTGTCTGAGAATGCCTTTATTTCCTCTCCACTCCTGAAGAATATTTTTGTCCAATACAGAATACATGGTTGACATTGCGTTTCTTTCAGTACATGAGAAATGTTATATCACCTGCTTCTGGCCTCCACAGTTTCAGATGAAAAATCATTTATCATTCAAATCTATGGTCTACCAAAGGAAGTTAATCTTTAGCTGTTTAAAAGAAATTTTTTTTTAGTATTCAGTTTTCAGAAGTTTGATTGTAATGTGACTAGGCATTGATTCCGTTAGGTTTATCCTATTGGGGATTTTCTTGGCTTCTTAAATCTGTAGGTTTATGCTTTTTCCCAAATTTGGGAGTATTTCAGCCATTATTTCTTCACATACATTTCTCAGTCTCATTCTCTCTCTCCTCTCATCTGGGACTTAGATGATATGGATTTTAGTTATTGTCCCACAGGTGCTCGAGACTTTGTTCATTTTTTTTTTCAATCTATTTCCCTCTGTTGCTCAGATTGGGTAAATTCTATTGACCTTTCCCTAAGTTCACCAATTATGTCATTTGTTATCTCCACTCTCCCATTGAATGCCTCCAGTAAATTCTTAAAACTTCAGTAATTATATTTTTCTTGTCTAATATCCAGGTTTTTTTCTTTTCTTTTTTAATGTTTTAAAATTTATTTTTGAGAGAGAGAGAGAGAGAGAGAGAGAGAGAGCATGAGCAGGGGAGGGGCAGAGAGAGAGGGAGACACAGAATCCAAAGCAGGGTCCAGGCTCTGAGCTGTCAGCACAGAGCTCAACTCGGGGCTTGAACTCACAAACTACGAGATCATGACTTGAGCCGAAGTCAGACGCTTCATGGACTGAGCCACCAGGCGCCCTATCCAGATGTTTTCTTATAGTTTCTATTTTTGTGTGTGTGCCAAATTTCCCACTTTTTATTTGTTTCAAAACGATTATTAATTGCTTCTTGAAATATTGTATGATGGATGCTTTAAAATTCTTATCAGAAAATCCCAACATCTGATTCATCTTGGTATTGGTGTCTACTCACTGTTTTATTCTGCCATTCGCGTTGTTATCTTCCTGTTTCTTGGCAAGAATGAGTTTTAAAAACTATGTTCTGAAAGTTTTGGATATAATATTCTGAGACTCTGAGTTATTCTCCTCCTCCTCCTCCTCTTCCTCCTCCGCCTTCTCCTCTTTCTTCTTCTTAGCAGGAAATCCTCTGCTGAGATCTAGCTTGAAGGCTGGGCACTCGTATATATTTACCCTCCCCTTTGGATCCTGCTGCTACTATCCTGGCAAAGCAGGGTGGGGCAAGTGTGAAAGTACTCACACTAGCCCTGACTTACACTATGTTACTCAGTCTTTGTTGATGGTGGATGGAGATAGAAGCTCAGCTGCCCCCTGAGCTTAGCGGACGCTACTCCACAAGGGAATCACAGCCACTCCTGCTTCTGCCATTCAGGAGATGAAAGATTACCTCCCCATATGTCCCCACCAACATCACCTGGTGAGGAAGCCTGAGCACTGCTTCTATAGAGAGGGGGTGAACACCATGGGTAGGGGGTGAAAGCCTTGTGAAACCATGGGGAAAGGAAGAGTGAGATTTTCCCATTGGTGTTAGGCTGGAGTAGGCGGAGTTTGCCAAGACGGTTTCTGGTGTTAGGCTACCCTTGCCCCAATCCTTTGGCCAGGCATAGGCTTTTCTTTGAGTGTTCCTTTTTTCACTTATCTGTTGATGAACACTTAGGTTGTTTCATGGATACTGTAAATAATGCTGCAATGAACATGGAAGGAAATGCGGTTAGCTCTTTGACATAGTGATTTCATTTCTTTCAGGTGTGTATCTAGAGGTGGAATTGCTGAATCATTTGTTTTCCGTAATGGCTGTACCGATTTACATTCCCACCAACGGTGCACAAAGGTTCTCTTTTCCCCACATCGTCACTAGCACTTGTTACCTCTTGTCTTTTTCATAATAGTGATTCTAGCAGGTGTGAGGTGATATCTCATGGCTTTGATTTGCATTTCCCTGATGATTAGTGATGTTGAGCACCTGTCCATGTGACGGTTGGCCATTTGAACATCTTCTTTGGAAAAATGTCTACTCAGGTTATTTATCCACTTTTTAATTGGATTATTATTTTTTTTTTTTTATTGACTTGTATGAGTTCCTTTTACATTTTGGATATTAACCCTTTATCAGATATGTGGCTTGCAACATTTTCTCCCATGGTAGGTTGCCTTTTCATTTCTGCTCTGTCTTGAATTCAGTAACTGAAATAGTCACTCTTTCCCTGTTTTTTCAAGTATTACAGTTGCTTTGGTGGGAGGGCTAGTATAACTCCATTTACCTTTGGGAGGACTAGTCCTGTTCCATTTGCCTTGTTGTGGCAAGATGTGGCAATACTATTCTAGACTTTTGAAAAGAGCCTTTTCACTCATTTCCAGATTTCCATTCAAAAGACTGGATCCCACCCATGCATCTTCCACATGATTCACTGGAGTCAGTGTGGCTTCTTCTAAAAAATTCTTTCATTCTCATTTCTCAGGCGATGAGCACTGAATTCCTCAGACTAAACTTATTGTCTTGAATAGTGAATTACTCTCCGATTTTTAGCAGTTGATTCTGTTTTTGCCTTATCTCTCATTTCTGTCTTTCCACTCACTGGAAGAACGAAAAACCCCAAAGGCACATACTTTCAGACAGCTATCGTTTCTAATCTAGGCTCTATGTCTCATAAGACGGGCGGCTTAGGCATGTTACATCACCTCTTCAAACGTTCTTGTCCTCATCCGTGATGTAGAAAATATTACCTAACCTCACGGTGTTGTCATAAGTGTTCATATCTAGACCACAGTATTCAGTACAGAAACTGACACGTGGTAGACTCATGGTAAATATGAATTGCCATTATTTTTGCCTGATGTCTTTTCCTCCCTTCCCCCAGTTACACTTTCCCCTTCAGTTTTTCTTCTCCATCTTTTCTTTCATCAGTGCCTTCCCCCCAGCCCCCTTCCCTTTCTCCTTCTCTTTTTTCAGTCCATGATGCCGAGGACAGGATTGGACATACCGTAAGTACTTCTGACAGAGGGAGACACTCTACTGTCAGGAGGATAAAGACAAATGTTTAAGGAAGGATTCCTTATTTCTTATAATTATGTATTACTTTCTCACTGCTTGCTTGCTTGAGCCATTCATTCATTCATTCGTTCATTCATTCAAATTTGTCTCACACAAAATGCCAACTGCCTCTAATTTGGCTTTGTTTCTTTCTGGGAAGGAAGGCCCACTTCAACATGGGTGCCGCTGGCACATCTCCCACACTTTCACAGAGTGCCCAGCTGAGACATGTGATGCATGTATCCTTCTGCCTGGCTGACCTCAGGTATGTCTCATCCCTCTTAGTTCACTGCACACAACCCTGGCCCATTTCCAAAACTAATAAAGGCAGGGCATCGCTCTGCTGCAGTGATCTCTGTTCCGTCCTCTGCACCTGAGCCCTCCATTCTCTCAGGACATGTCAGTCATGAAGCCCTATTTAATGACCATTTCCATCCTCCTGATCCTGGTTCCTAAGACTCCAGGTAACTCAGGCCTCTCTCAAAGGTTCTGGGGTCTTGCGTGTGGTATTGTTATCTTGATGACCTCCGAGATGACTCCCACTCACATATCACAGGCACTACCTAAAGCCTTTCTGGTCTCAAACAGGTTGGGAACGTCACTCCCAAGGTCCATCTCATGTCAAGATCTCCCCTGGTTCCGCCCTGCCAAGACAAATTTAAGAGGTTGTTGCTTCTTCTCTCCTGGGCTAGTGGAGTATCGAAGCATGAGGCATTTTAGGTAGTGCTGTCACTGGGAGGATAGATTGATTCATGTGTTTGGTGTGCGAGATTGGATCTAAGTTGGGAGCTATCAGATGAATCAATGGTAGTTTGGGAGAATGAGTTGTGGTGGGGATGGTATATGACCTTAGAGAGAGAGTAATATTAGAAAAATGAGTGGGCAGGAGGAGGGGGTAAGCAATTGTTTATAGGATTGGCCTGGATTGATGTTCTGGTGTAGTCTGGAGAGGGAAGGCTATTTTTGCTGAATGGAGCTGAGGGCGGAGTTGGGTAGGACTGAAAGTTAGGGTGAAGCTGGTGGTGGGATTGTGTTTTGGATTAATGCTGTGAATTGGGTTGGGTGGCTTGGCTAGTATCCTGTTTGTGTTAAATTTTATAACTGAGCCTTAGGTGGTTAGAGAAGAGACAGAGCTGCAAGTTGGAGTTAGCTGTTTGTTCAAGTAGGTGTGTTATTCAAGCTGGGCATATGTGGGGTGTGTCCGGGCAGGGGTTGGCTTAGCCTGAGTTTGGGGGGTGATTAAGCTTGAGTAAGACAGTTGCATTCATCAGAGCAGAGCCGTGGCTGTTGAAATGGGGAGAGTGAATGCTGCGTGAAAAATAATCTGGTAACTATGTTCAAATTCTTAAAAAAGTTTCTTGGGTGTGATTGGCGGGGGGGAGCACTGAAAAGCAATAAATATAACTGTAGGCAGTGAGGAAAAATGAAACTGGGAGGCTGGAATGTCCTTAAGTGGCTCTCCTTAAACTTTGACATGTACAGAAAGACACGGCAATAATCTCATCCCAGCCCCACAGAGAGCCAAGGTTGTCTCTTTTCTTGGGACTGAATTCAGAATTACTGTTTTCTCCTCCCTCTCTTACTTCTCTTTCCCCTTCCCACCCTCTCCCTACTTCACTTTCTCCTACCCCTTATTTCTCACTCTGTTTCATCCTCTTCACCTGAGAGACACTCGTCCTCATGTTCCGTAAAGTTCAGTTCCCATGTTAGAACAGTGGTAAAAACCACAGGTAAGTTTGCAGATAACAACAAAGGAAGACAAGTATTCCATGCTTCACAAGTTGTACATAGTGTTGCCTCCCTACTAACTATTTGATACTTTCACCCGGCAGTTCATGGGCAGGAACTGTTCCGGACAAACTTTTCTGGGGTAACCAAAGTCATTTTTTTCCTTTCATCACCCCAAAACATATACTTAGGAAATTAATGTGTTTGAAAGCCGAGACTCTGTCTTTGCAACTTATGTATTCCTAGTATTGAGGTGAGTGCTTTGCACAGAGTACGTTTATTGAATGAATTAATGAATACATATAAATGACTTATGCCTAAGATATAAATAAATATATATTCTATATTTTATATATTATATATTTATTAAATATATAAAAAATATAAATTTATAAAAATATATAAATTTTTATAGATTAAAATTTTATAATTAAATTTAATATATAATCTTATAATTAAATTTTATAATTAAATAAATTTTATAATTAAAATTAATCTATAAAATTAATTTTATATATTAAAAATTTATATATTTATATATTTAAATATTTATTTATGTATTTTATATAATATATAAAATATTTATGTATTTTATATACATTTATATGTATTATATATATATAAAGAACCTTACAAGTTGGGTGGGGAAGGATCATGTTTGGGGTGCACAGGTGGCAAAGAAATCATGTATAACATTGCTTTTGGCTGTGTATGGAACTGTTAGAGTCTAGAGCGTATGTTTTGTTTTTTGATTTATGATATTTTAATTTGCCCTTAATACAAGTCCAAAGTGGGTGAATGAGCCGGGCCATGTCTATGGGTGGATGTGAGAAGGTCAGGCAGGTTTGTAGCTCTCACTTCAGGCAGGAGCCCGTATTTTCTGGGAAACTCATGCACAGCACCCCTCCTCTGGCCTCTTCTCAGACCTGTCAAGTGAGAATCTCTAGAGACTTGATGTGAGTATACTTAACAACTCCCCAAGTTATTATAAAGTATGACCCATCTTATTAACCTCCTCCTTCACAAACACAGTTGAGATTTCCTGATCTGGTGCAAACTCTCTCATTCCCATTCCTGAACATGGGGAGACTGGGTACAGAGTACAGAGGGTCAGAGGCAAAGCTGATATTTAAAAGCAGATCTTTAACTTCAATTTGGAGATGGAAGGATGATCACAGGTGACATTAAATGAACGTGGATGTTACAATTTGAAATGGCAGGGAACTATATAGGGTTAGCATAGCTGCAGGATTGAGAAACTAGAAATATCTATAACAAAACCCTTGTTTGTTTGTTTAGCCACTGTAAACAGAATCCTCCTGGGTCTGCCTTGACCTGCTTCCCATGTGGAGAGTGAGGGAAAGGCAGCTTGCCTGATCCTCATTCTTGCTATCTGTGTTCCTATCCATCTTCTGGTGATGGAGGTGACCTTGGGTGCCCTGGCTCCCATCCACTGGATTTGGGAGAAGATAAAAGTCCACCAGTTCAAATATTAGCCAGAAGAGTGTGAGTATCACTCTAGCGGGGCCCTGCAGCCCTCCTCCTTTTGTAAGTAGGATGATGCCAAGAGAGGGAGGGGTTCCGTGATGAGGGCAAGGATTAAAGTAGGAAATGCAGCGGTACCCTGATGTTGGAACATGGATGAAGGGGCGCCATTTTTTACCTCCTTGTTCTGGTTAACCAGCAGGCTGGCTGATGCCGCAGCAATTGCGTGCCTTCCATGGGCTGGAGTGCCAATTTCTGGGGAAGTCCATATATATATCAGTGCCCAGATGCTATGGGATGTCTGCCATTAAAGACAGAGTACTTTATACTTTCTTTCTCCTCACATTATCTGACTTCACCTAGACTTGGTGAAGTCCTGCTTTCTGTTGACACAAAATTAACAGAATGTTCTTTTTGCCAGGCAGAAAACAATGTCAAATTTGCTTGTCCAATTTTTATTAATGTGGGTGGGCACCGGAGACCTCTGTGTGCTTAGCACTGAGTATGTGGCCTGGCACAGAGTGAGTGCTGATAAATGGATGTGAAATGAGGGGATGGGTGGGTGGTTGAAAAGGTTCTTGAATGTGAAGCTATGGAGTCTGGACTATCTATTGATAGCTGAAGAAGTCCTTATGCCTAAAGACATCACGCAGGAAGACGCCACCCTGTCCTAGAGAAATCCTCTCATATAGGGAGGCAATGTCACACAGAGAGGAAAGAGCATGGGCTTAGTATCAAATAGAGAAGAATTGAATCCCAGGCCGGGTCAAGTGCAACGCTGTAGAAATGTGGACAGAACAAGATTTCTCTTTGCTTCAATGTCTTCATCTAAAGAATAGCAGTAACAATAAGCTTTTATGAAGGTTCAATGAGATATCGTTTGTAAAATGCCTGACACATGGTTGAAGCTGGACGTATGATATGACTGTTAGTACTGTCTTCTTTCTAACGTTTATTTATTTTTGAGACAGAGAGAGACAGAGCATGAATGGGGGAGGGTCAGAGAGAGAGGGAGACACAGAATCCGGAGCAGGCTCCAGGCTCCGAGCTGACAGCACAGAGCCCGACGTGGGGCTTGAACTCACGGACCGCGAGATCATGACCTGAGCCGAAGTCGGCCGCTCAACCGACTGAGCCACCCAGGTGCCCCTGTTTTCTTTCTAATGGCTCCTTTGCCTTTGAAAGTTGTAATAAGTAACTAAATCTATTGATGACTAGCATTTATAGAAAGCTGAGTGAGTGTCAGGAACTTTGTCACTGGGGTATTTCCAGCCAAGGAGCCCATGTACACGTGCACGTATTTGGATGACTGATATATAGCTATCGGTGGTCAGTGAGGGGCTTTAGCCATTTGTGGAAAGCGCGTGGCAGAGGTTTGTACAGTGAGCACATGTGTATATGCTCAATATATGTGTGAATGCCGACGTGTGCACTTGTGCCTGTGCGTGTGCTCCAGCGTGTGCTCCCCGGGTACACGCAGCATTTGTTTCTGTGGGGCCAAGGTACAAAGAGAAACGTGCATGTTTGCTCAAATGCTTCAAAGGACAAAGGCGCGCAGGGGCTGGAATGTGTGTGCCCTGCATGCCCCTGAAGGAGCTCTGTGTGAGAAGCGAACCTCTGTACGGACACTTGAGAACACGTCCAGTGTGTGCCCCTGAAACCCTGGACCCTCAGGAAAAGCCTTTCATATCAGCAACAGTGTCTAATATTTAATTACTTCTTACTATGTGCCAGCTACTTTTCTGAGCACGCTACATACGCTAATCTAACATCACAAACGTTGTTACACCCATTGTGAAAACAATGCAACGGTGGGCTAGCCAACCAAAGTATCTGGCTAAAGGATGACGAGTTATAATGACGGAACCCACATTTGAACCAAGGTGGTTTTGACTCCGGATCCTGTTAATACTCTCAGGGCTTGTTCTCTCGAAATCATGCTTCCCCGCTCCTGTTATCACTGCTGCAAGGACACTAAACATGGCTATGTTTTCCCCAGGTGACCTGTTCAGATCCTACTATGGCAACAGCCAAGAGCCTTGGATTCCATGCCAGCTGTACCACGGCATGTGCAGAAACACCTGCAGAAAAAATGAAATTCAATACTTACCCTGCCCAAGTGATCAAAAGTGCTGCCTGAAACTGTCTGTGAAAATAGCCCATTCTAACAATGTGAAGGATTATGACTCCGACTCCAACCTGTCAGTTACAAACATTTCAAGCTACTCTAAAATTTGAAGATCACCAACCATACCACCTCCCCCTGGAGTAATTCTTCCCTTATTCTGGAACACCCTCTCCATAAAAACGCATTCCTTCTCACGTGTGTGTCTTTCGTCTGTGAGCCATCGTCATTGGACAGGGGAAGGTTAGGCAGGAGCTGGGGAGCAACAGAGTACTGGAAAGGACACTGGCCAAGAAAGCAAATAGGATCCGAGAGTAGCTCGGTAGATGTTGAGGGTGCCAAGGAAGGGAGGAAATCACATTTCGGCTCTGCTTTGGTACCACCAAGAGGGCTGTGATTCATTCTTAGGCAGCAGGGGGAAGGTGACGACTGTATTGAGTCTGGATGATCCAATGAATATGTAGGGGAGATCACTGAGTCCTCTGAGTAAAACGTCGTTAAGATTACGACGAGGACAAGATGGTTGTCTTTGATATCCAGACAACCATCCTGGCCAGTTTGGTATGATGTGGTGTCCTCAGGAAGAACCAGAACCAGACAGATGGATGACGAGGACTGAGTATAGGAATCTGTTGGACAAATTCGGGCAACATTTCCTGAGAGGTAGAGGTGTTGGAAAGTGGACCAAGCAGGGTTGTCCCTGAGCATTCTTCTGGTTTCGAGTCTGGAGGACCATTTCTGGGTGTGAGACAGAGGTGGTTGTGGTCATAGTGAGAGAAAGGGAATTCAAACAGAAGCTGGATACTGTACTTGATAACCTTTAAGATTCCTTTCATTCCTGAGAATGTAGGGATATTAACTTTCCACTCCAAACTTAGTCACAACTAATAGTTGGACATACTATGGAATTATCATTGTGTTATGTAGACTCCTTTTCCATGGCTAATGCTTCATCTCTCCCCCTCTTTGGATTGAAACTTCTAGAAGTTTGAGTCTGGATTATTTTAATAATAATTTAATAACCTTCATAATGTTTCCCATTATTAGACAAATGACAATTTCAGCCCAGATGGACCAAAGGCCATGCACTCACTAAATGACCAATCTATACAGCTGGATTTTAATTTTCATAGAACTTAGAAGTCTGGTGGGAAATCTTAATGACGTTTATGTCTTTGAGATCCACTGACATTCAGACGTGTTTGTCAGACAGGGGATAGGGGCTTGACAGAAGCCAGGTTTCAAGAAGGGAGGCAGAAATTTTCTGGAATAAGTAGCATGATTGGACACAACTTTTAATATTTAAAAGAATATATTGGTCCCAGGTTCAGCACAGGAGTAATATTTCAGACTTTCTACTTCAGAAGTTTTTGTAAAGGGAAAATGGTTGTGGAATTCTAGGCTTAAAGCAGATTCCCATTTCCTTGGCTTCTCCATGTCTTCAAGAAAGAAACATGCATATGGAGTCAGAAGGGTTTGTTCTCTGTTCCCCATCACTGCTCAGAAGCTGTGTGATCTTGGGCGAGTTCTATATTTACATGTTCAACCCAGACAACATCTCTGAGGCCCAGACCCCCATATTGAATTATGTATTTGCTAGGTTATCATGGATTTCTCAGCTCTCTCAGATTCAAGTGTCCTAAACTGAATTTCCACCCTGTTTGCCTGGCTTTTCTATGGTCTTCCCTTTTGAGTAATCGACACCTACCATTCATCCCATTGCTCAACTCAGAAACTTGGGAATCATTCTAGATCCACCAATTCATCTCAAGTCACCATGTCCAAACCATTAACATGTGCTTTTGGTTCCAACTCAAACTGATCTCCATTTAATGATGAAGTCAGCTTTTGCATAACCAAAAGGAGAGGGTTCACTATTTCCTTAAAGTGAAAAATCTTAACTAATCAAGAAATCCTTCAGGTTTTAGTCCCTTGATGTACATTTTTTTTTTTTTTTACTCTTTTAGGGATCTTCAAGGCCATCCACCTTTGCTTTTCTCAACAAGTAATTTCCTCTGTTCAAATGTGTATTTGTCTGTGTTTTGATCGTTATTAGCATCCTTATCAAATAGTGTCTTTGATGTTTGCTATTTCATAAGGTCCACCATCAGCTTCTCTCATCGTTCCTTCTCCAGTTTCACTTTCTCCACTGCTCATCGACACAAGTCTTAGAAGGATTTTTTAGGTATATTAAGTTATAAAAGAAAGCCTGTGATTTTGATGTGTTAAAGAGGGTAGAGAGTGATTCCCAGCCTCTGCCTGATGGGTATTCTTCTTCCTTCCTAAAAAACAAATCTAATAAATGGCAGACATTTCTTTTAAACTTTTGAGTCTGGTCATTCTTGCCCAACAGGTTGGTGTCATTTGTAAGATCTGAGGAAGGGTGGAGGTGGAGTGTAGGATGAGGACTGAATTTACACACAGTCTTAACTCTCAGATCCTCCTCTGTATCTCCCCTCTGTGGCCTGGAGATTCCATGGCTCCATGCCTGAGTTCAGAAATGCTTGTATTTCAGGTAGGGACTATAATCTGAGTTCAACCACATAGTTTTGCTGGTCTGTTAACCCTTACCACCAATAACTGAGAAAACTCGGGTCTACTGTCTTTTAGGTGAGACTCTATTCAGTGGGGTTCTCAGTCAAATGGTTAAAAAGAAAGTCTCATCTCTAATCTCTGTTTAGCTTGTTTTAAATAAGCATAACTTTAAATATAGCATGACTATAGCATAACTTAGTATAATGTGGAATTGGTGACCGGAGATTATCTCCAAACTAGTATTGTTTTCCTGCTTCGTTCTTATGCTAGGATGTTCCAAAATATCTAAGAGAAAAATCTGGAAATCTCCCATTTTGGCCAGAAAGTAGTCATGATATTTATGGTGAGAAGAAGTTTACAAAAGGAAATAAAAATTCTAAATTCTCTCCTTTACAGATATATCTACAAGAGTTTGAAAATATCATTGATGTTCCCATTGACTTCAAAGGGAAAAAAAAACCCTGTAAGCTTTTTCAGATACACATAGAACAAATGCCTCTGACAAAATAATAATAATAATAAATACTAATAATAATTTGTACTCAAAACCATCCTATTTCCAGCCTCTATATGCCTCAGATTTTCTACACAACAACTCCAGATACTCTATGAAACTGCCTCAATATAAGATTAAGCCTTCAAAACATTCTTGCCATGTAATTTTTTAATGTTTAAATGAATACCACCTAGAAATTATGGTAAATAGATGTTATTCCATTTAGATTAAATACTCCAAAGACTTTTGAGCAGATTCACTCTGTGTTATGGAAATTAACTCTCCTGCTGTCCAGAACATAATAGATCAAAAATGAGAACTTCTCCTCAGAGTATGTTTAGGATTACGAAGGGCAAAGGGGTCGAGGAATTATATTTTAAACAACAAAAGTGAGTGTAGAAGGAGGCATTGAATACATGCTAATATTGAATACATGTAACAAACAACTCTGTTTTAACATGTAAGGTAATCCCTATTTTATTTTATTTTTTAATTTTTTTTCAACGTTTTTTATTTTATTTTTTGGGACAGAGAAAGATAGAGCATGAACGGGGGAGGGGCAGAGAGAGAGGGAGACACAGAATCAGAAACCGGCTCCAGGCTCTGAGCCATCAGCCCAGAGCCTGACGCGGGGCTCTAACTCACGGACCGTGAGATCGTGACCTGGCTGAAGTCGGATGCTTAACCGACTGCGCCACCCAGGCGCCCCTTAACGTTTATTTATTTTTGAGACAGAGAGAGACAGAGCATGAACGGGGGAGGGGCAGAGAGAGAGGGAGACACAGAACCGGAAGCAGGCTCCAGGCTCTGAGCCATCAGCCCAGAGCCCGACGCGGGGCTCGAACTCACGGACCACGAGATCGTGACCTGAGCCGAAGTCGGACGCTTAACCGACTGAGCCACCCAGGTGCCCCGTAATCCCTATTTTATAGATCAAAGGCTTTATTTCTTTCAGAGTCCAGAGTGTTAACCATTACACAACAGAACCAAGGCTTTATTTCTTTCAAACACACACACACACACACACACACACACACACACACACACACACTGAAAACACCACCCCCCAAGCAAAAGCATTTTGGAGTATTACATATGCATTGTAAATTATTTTGAAATAAAATCATGTTTAGAAAGGCACCATTCTATCAAAAAATTGTGAAGGAAAATGATCCAAAATTTGGAAATAAGTAAAAGAGATTACTGGGTGTTCTTTCAGGGGAATGCTAGACATGATCTAGTAGATCCCCTGGGATTATAATTCTGTTAGGGGTGTCCACGATTAAATTAATTTTCCACTGACTAAGCTATTTAGAAACGTTGTATGGGTAGTGGTTAATTAACAGAGAACTGTATCATTGCCAAAATTCTTTTGAGAGTCATTACAAACTATTCCCATTCATAGCAATGCAAAGGGACAGATGCAGGTGGATGCCCTTGACTTCTTTCTGGTGGGAAACAGCCCTGAATGTTAGAGTTTATTGTTCTTCAGTATATTAAATAGGTTTACAATTTTTGTACATTTGCAAATTTAAAAAAAAATTTTTTTCAACGTTTATTTATTTTTGGGACAGAGAGAGACAGAGCATGAACGGGGGAGGGGCAGAGAGAGAGGGAGACACAGAATCGGAAACAGGCTCCAGGCTCCAGGCTCCGAGCCATCAGCCCAGAGCCTGACGTGAGGCTCGAACTCACGGACCGCGAGATCGTGACCTGGCTGAAGTCGGACGCTTAACCGACTGCGCCACCCAGGCGCCCCATGTACATTTGCAAATTTATTTCAGAGTTCATTTGATGGATTATATTCATCACTGTTTCTCTGAACCGGTCTTAACATCTTACTGATTTCTTTATTCTTTATGAGTTAAATGAAATCATGGAAATCTTTTCATTTTATGTCTACCTGTGACATGTTTTTAACTTTAGAACTTTATACTATGCTCTGTTTC